CCAGATACCCAAGCTTTCAGGTCAATTAAAATCGCTTTTATTTCTAGTATATTGAGCAATATTATCATGAATGGGTGTTAGATTTTCGCTAAATGCTTTTAAAAAATTATTTATTTTTATTTTCTGAGACAGAGTTTCACTATGTCACCCTCGGTAGAGAGCTGTGATATCACAGCTCACAGCAACCTCAAACTCTTGAGCTAAAGCGATTCTCTTGCCTCAGCCTCCCAAGTAGCTGGGACTATAGGCACCCGCCACCATACACAGCTATTTTGTTGTTGTTGTTGCAGTTGTCATGATTGTTTAGCAGGCCTTGGTTAGGTTTGAACCCACCAGCCCAGATGCATATGCCTGGAGCCCTAACCATAGACGCTGAGCCAAATGCTTTTTTATGTCTTTATAAGATAATTGTGTCATTTTTGTCCTTTATGTTATTGCTATAATGTTAAAATTAGTTGTTTTTCTTTCCTTTTTTTTGGAGACAGAGACTCAAGCTGTTACCCTGGGTAGTGTACCATGATGTGACTGCTCACAGCAACCTCAAAACTCTCAGGTTCAAGTGATCCTCTTACCTCAGTTTGTCTATTTTTAGTAGAGACAGGGTCTCACTTTTGCTTAGGCTAGTCTTGAATTCATGAGCTCAAGCAATCCATCCTCCTTGTCCTTCTAGAATGCTAGGATTAAAGGCGTGAACCACTGCACCTAGCCAAAATTAGTTGTTCTTTTAATGTTGAACTAGTCGTGCATTCTTGGGATAAACCCCATTTGGGAAGAAAAATAATCCTTTTATGTTGCTGGATCTGGTTTGCTAATAATTTAAAAGATTTTGTGTCTCATTTCAAGAGGGATATTGATTTATAGTTTTCTCTTCTTATGACTTTGGTAAACTGGTTTCACAGAATGAGTTACGAAAGATTCTCTTTCATAGAATTTGTGAAGGATTGGTGTTATTTCTGCACTTAAGTGGACATAGAAATAGAATTGAGGGATCTTTATTCTAAAGGTTTCTACACATTAAATATATCTGAGGTGGGCCCAGTGTCTCACAGCTGTAATAGCACTCAAGGAGGCCAAGGCAGGTAGACTGCCTGAGCTCAGGAGTTTGAGACCAGCCTGAGAAAGAGCAAGACTCTGTCTCTAAAATAGTAGCCAGGTGTTGTGGCAGGCGCCTGTAGTCCCAGCTACTTGGGAAGTTGAGACTAGAGGATCACTTGAGCCCAAGAGTTTGAGGTTTCTGCGAGCTATGATGCCACAGCACTCTACCAAGGGTGACAAAGTAAGACTCTGTCTCAAAAATAAATAAACAAATTTGTACCTCTTTCCTCATTAAAAAAGAGAAAGAAATACAATTGATTTTTGTTTCTTGGTTTTTTTTTTTTTTTTTGGAGACAGAGTCTCACTTTGTCACCCTTGGTAGAGTGCCCTGGTGTCATACCTCACTGCAACCTCCAACTCCTGGGTTTAAGTGATCCTCCTGCCTTAGCCTCCCAAGTAGCTGAGACTACAGGTATGCACCACCATCCCTGGGTAATTTTTTTCTTAATTTTTTTTATAGAACTGGGATCTCACTATGTTGCTTAAACTCCTGGTCTCAAATGATCCTCCCACTACAGCCTCCCAAAATGTTAGGTTTATAGGGGAGCCACTCTGCTAGGTGAGATGGTTATATTTGAATATATTTTTTAAAAAATCTGTTACACAATAAGTACCAAGATGAGAGCAAGGGAATAGAAACATCTACAATGACATTTATAAAAAGATACTAATCACAATATAGAGCTGATGGAAATACACAGTTAGTACACTAAGTCCTCCTGATAAGGCATCAAATTAATTAATTCCCTTAGAATAAAATGTAAATTCTTTTTTTTTTGGAGACAGAGCCTCAAGCTTTTCCCCTGGGTAGAGTGCTCTGGCATCATAGCTCACAGCAACCTCCAACTCCTGGGCTCAAGTGAGTCTACTGCCTCAGCCTCCCAAGCAGCTCGGACCACAGGCGCCCACCACAACACCCGGCCATCTTTTGGTTGCAGCCGTCATTGTTGTTTGGCGGGCCCAGGCTGGATTCAAACCCGCCACCTTAGGTGAATGTGGCTGGCGTCTTAGCTGCTTGAGCCACAGGCGCCGAGCCAAAATGTAAATTTACCATGGCCTGCAAGGCCCTATATGATCTAGTCCTGCCTACCTATCTGGTCTTATTTGTGCTTTTTGACTGGGTTCACCATCCTACAATTTCCTTGAAGTTTTTTCAGTTTTAAGAACATACCCACAACACCTTCCCTTAGAAACACGAAGCTCTTCTCCTCCTAGGGGCTTTTGCCTATGCTGCTCCTTACCCGTCTAGAAAGCTCTTTTCCTCACTCCTCACATAGATAGCTCTTCAATCTTCAAGTCTCAAATCTACCCTACCTGCAAATCCTACCTAAAGTGAATCCCCTTATAGTCTTCCATTTTAGCACATCTTCTTCCTTAGAGCACTTTAATATCCTTTTAGGATTTTTTTTATCCTTTTTTGTATTTTATTTGCTTTTATCAATCTCCCGCAAGACTACTGAATCACATTAAGTCTCACTCGCCCTGTATTTCCACGACCAAGTACAATAACAACAAAAATATTCAATAAATATTTGTTGAATTAATTAAAGAAAAAGTGAAAACTCCAGTTATCAGACAATAAGGGAAAGCTCTAATTAGGATATATTAACATAGAAAATATATAACCATTCAGATTGACAGGAATAGAGGTAGTAGAAGAAAATGTCTACATGTAGTAATGGTAAATGAAAAAAAGTAGGCCAGGGCAGCGCCTATGGCTCAAAAAGTAGGGCGCCGGCCCCATATACCAGAGGTGGTGGGTTTAAATCCAGCCCCAGCGAAAAACCGCAAAAAAAGGAAAAAAAGAAAAAAAGTAGGCCACAAAATAGTATGTGTATATATCATGTAACTATGTCAGTAAAGCATGTATACATTGGAAATGATTGGAAAACAAGTCATGGTAGCAATAAAAGGTTTTAGCAATTAGCAGGCTCTCTATAAAGAAAGTAGGCTGCTAACAACAATACTGTATCATCAGAATTATGGGAAACGTGCTTATACGTGATACTAAGCAAAAAATAGAGCAAATACTGGATGTATACCATGATTATAACTAGGCCAAACTAACTACAGATCAAAAAAAGATACAGAAATAAAAATACCTATTGCATCAAGGTAGTAACATTACACATAAGACACGTCTTTTAATGTTTTTGACATTATTGGTCATCTTTGCCATGCAGGGTGGCTAATACCTGTAATCCTAACACTTTGAGAGGCTGAAGTGGGTGGTTTGCTTGAGCTCAGGGGTTCAAGACCAGCCTTAGCAATACCAAGACCCCAACTCTGCTAAAAACAGAAAAAAAGAAAATAGTTGGGCACTGTAGCAGGCTAGCAGCTCCAGCTACTCAGGAGGCTGAGGCAAGAGGATTGCTCAAGCCCAAGAGTTTGAGGTTGCTGTGAGCTATGACACCACAGCTCTCTATCCAGGGTATCAGAGTGAGACTCTGCCTCAAAAAAAAAAAAAAAAATTATTAGTCTTTTAAAACTAGTATTTTATGGCTAGGTGCGGGGCTTATGCCTGTAATCCTAGCACTCCGGGAGGCCAAGGCAGGTGGACTGCTTCAGCTCAGGACTTTGAGACCGGCCTAAATAAGAGCAAGACCCTGTTTCTACTAAAATAGAAAAACTAGCCAGGCATATTGGCACACACCTGTAGTTTCAGCTACTTGGGAGGCTCAAGCAAGAGGACTGCTCAAGCCCAAGAGTTTGAGGTTGCTATGAACTCTGATGCCACGGCACTCTGTCCTAGGACAACAGAGTGAGACTCTGTCTCAAAAAAAAAAAAAAAAGGC